AATTTAAATATAAATATGTACTTTTTAAAAAATATATCTTTATTAATTTCAGAGAGAAGAAGGCACTTCTCTAAGTATATTGCATACATTAATTCCTTTAATTCTTCAAACAACCTTGTAAGGTAAATATTTATATTAGCCTTTTATTTTTAGAGATGAAGAGATGCTAGCAGAGGTGACATGACTCATCCTAAAAATTTCAATTTTATAGTAGAAACCAAAGGGACACAAAACTTCACTTTAAAGCATATTTTATTGCGTGTGGGTCTCATTATCTACTTAGAGACAAGTTAAAGATACAGATATTTATAAAAATTATGCACATACACATACATTATTTTCATTTTTATTTATTTTTCTTTCTAAGTCTATTATTTTGATAATTCTGTGAGACTCAACTGCATATGTGGGCTCCTTGTGAAAAGAGAACACAAGTAACATGATCAGTAAGTTTACGGGGCAACTTGAAATTAGACTTGCTTACTTAGTACTGGAAAGCATTTTTCTCCTCAGGCAGAAATAAAATTAATAAACAAAATACATGAGGTACAAGTTTAACTTGATTATAACTTGGAAGAGAAAATTATAGATATATGTACAAAATATTGGAAAAAGTAAACCAAAATATAGGAGGCGGTTGTGTTGGGGTCATGGGGCTGTAGCCAATGTTCTTTTCCTTCTGTATATACTTCCTCATTTTATTTAATGAGTGATTGTTACCTCTATGATGAAAGTATTAAGTATGGAAATAGGAAATGTAATTATAGAGTGAGATAATAAGAGAGTCTTAGAGTTATACATTTTTATCTAGAATAAATTTCTATAAATTATGGACATCCATTATAAAAAAATTTTTAGGCAGTAATATGCACATTTGTTAGATTTGAGATCTCAGAAACTTACTACTTTAAAAGGAAACCTGCCTAATTATCAAATGTTTATATATTAGAACCAGATATTGGACTTTTAATATCTACTCACTGGAAACTTCTTAATATTACCTAAGTTTTATTTCACTATTATGGCTTAGACTTTAAAATACAGGAAGAATCTTTAGGTTTAAGAAAGCAATTAAAGGGGATGTTTTGCTCCTTTGTTGGAATGGTGAAGTGTTTTTTTCCCCCAAGGCGCTCTGCTAAGCACTAGCTGAGGTTACCAAGGTGAATAGAATGAGTCCTGTCCCCAAAGGGCTCCCAGTCTTGTTGAAGACACGTGACATTTACCCAGAAAATAGTTGGGTGAAAAATTGAAGACATTAGAGGGTAGACTGTAAAATAAAGGTGAAAATTAAATGAGGCAGCTTATATAAAGCACTGTGAGCACTGTGAATACACAGTCAATGCTAATAATATTAGATATTATTATCACCATTATTATTGTTATTTGCTAACTTTTTTCTTCAGACAGTGTCAGTGAGATACCACTTTTTAAGCTGGTAAGGCTATTCTCAAGACATAGGAAAAAATCTGGCCAAATAGCTTCAGTGTATTATTTTATATTATTTTAAAAAGGCTAGTTTAAAAGCAGAATAATTTTAAGATCCCAATGAAGATTATTCTTTATATTTATAATGACAAGAGGTGGTGTAGAGGATAGTTCATATATGCACAGAACTTTTTGTTAATGTGCAAAATTTTAAATTTGGTCAGGAAAGGAAAAAACAAGAATGCACAAAAGCTATCCCGTAAGTGTGCGAAACTCTTCTAATAGTCTTATTGAACAAAAGATAAAGGTTACTGTCTTAATTCTTTAAGCATTCTAAGGACTTTCTACTTCCCTGACTATATCTGAGTCCTTTCCCTGACCTATTAGGCCTTCTAGAGACCACAGTCTTAAATTATAGTTTATTCTCAAAGAGAAATAGAACATTCCCAGGTCACAATAAAATAAGTGTCTACATGTTGAATGCTTATTGCATGTCAAATGCTTATGAATCCAACCCCGTGGGAGTTCACATTAATACTGGAAGACGGGCATTATGATCCTTATTTTTCAAATGAAAATGGAGCCTCAGAGAGATTGGTTGACTTTCCCAAGGTCACACAGCTCATAAATGCCATCAGGGGGATTCAAACCTAGATTGATCACTTCACGATGCCATGTGGAACGTTTAAGAGGTTTCACTAAAAACAACAACAAAAAACAACCACCGATATTGTAGAAAATATTACCTTTCAAAACATATATAGAAATTTTAAGAGTAAAACATGAGAACAACTCGAAATACAAAAACAGAAGAAATATCTTTTTAAACCAGCTGTTGCATGAGAAAACAGTGGTTCTATATTGTATTCAATAGAGTATCCTAACAAATAAAAAATATATATACTTTTACGCTGAGAAGTAGATGTTAAAAAGATTTTTATCATTCTAACATTTATTAACATAAAAAATTAGCTTGAACTTCTTTGAAAATCTTTTTTTTTTTCTTGCCACATCCTCTGAGGCTCATTTGAAACCTCTGCTTGGGGATTGCTCTTATCCCAGTTTTCTCTGAAGCCAGTCCTCCTTGGAGACCATCCTAGACGCACAGGGCCCGGAGGGGGAGTCAGGATTCATTCGCAGGTGAAGGCCCACCTCTGGCTTCGCGGGGAGCACAGAGCACTGTGGGGGAGCAGCAGCCTCCTGCAGCAGCTCTGTGTCTGGATTTGGAAATGGACATGTGGTTAGTGCTGAGGTCACCCCTGGCCTTCATGGGGCCTCTGGTTTGCCTTAAATATTTTGTTTCTTACTTAGCAGGCTCTACTGCTTATTAATTGGATGCCAGTTCCTAAGGACAGTCATCATACCTTAGAAGGAAAGTCGGTTTTCATAAATTATGTCAGTGTTTCCATTTATCGAGGGGAAAAAACCTGATGAGTGCTATTTAGAACCAGATAATTTTCCAGGGAATTGGCTGATCCTCCTGCTGGTGTGAGGGGCAGATGCCACCAGACCCCATGCTGCTTGTTAAGAACCACTGAAGAGCCTCTTCCTCCCTGAACAAGCACTGCTTTTTAATTAGGCTCTTCAGATGGTCTGTATAAGTCATAGTAATTCGCACTATCAAAAATATAATTATCTTAAATATTTTAGGATCTCCAGCTGGATTTAATTAAGCAGAAGTTAAGCAGAAGGCTTCCCCCATGTTTTTATTCACCAAATGGTCATTGATTTCATCTAAGTTGTAAAAGTCCCTTTATAAGGTTCTGAATAACTTTTCTTGTTAACAAATTCTGGTATCATAAAACAAAAGAAGTGCTTTTCTAAAATGAGGGAACCATCATAAGGTACTCGGAAAGTGAAAACGTGAGCTGTAGAGTCAGAAAAACTTAGGTTTGAATTTAGATTCTGTCTCTAAATGGAAGGAAGACTTTGAATAAGACTGAGTCTCCCTGGGATGTAGTTTCTTCCTAGATAAAATGAAGATGCCATGTACCACAGAGGGCTGTTGCGAAGGTAAACAGCATGATGCCCGGCCATACCAGGCCTCCAACAATTTTGACTTTAAGAAGATCCTTAATAGTACCCTACAAATCCTTTACCGCCCTCCCTCCATTCCCTTCCCACTCAGAGGCAACTGTTGCTTGGTATTCTAAAATTTCTAGTTATTATTTCCATGATTTTTAAGATTACATCTATTTATGTTCCTAGGCAACATACATACATATTTTTTTCACCTTGCATATTTTTACACCTATCTTTCTGTTCTCTGCTCCATGTCATCTCCTCTGTAAAGCCTTCTCCAAGCCCCCAGGCTCCAGCTCCTTGACTGTCCCTGACTCTAGGATTGGTCTTCTCCAACCCCTTCTCCAAAAAGAATCTTGTTGCTCTCACAATTAACACTCTGGAGTTTCCCCAGTTCTTTTGGTCCAGGCTTAGAGATGAGGAATTTGATGCAACATATGAAAACTGCAGTATTATTTCTAGCTTTTCTCGAAAGACTGATTAAAGCTCCTTTGGGAAAACCTGGCTACTCTCATGTCCCCAGCTTATACTTGCTACTATATATTACCTGTGTGACTTTTAATATTGTTTGTACTGTTTTTGTGTCTGTAAAGTGGAGGTGATGAGTGGTGACAACTGCTCAATTTTTTTTTCATTATGAAAACCACAAGCAAGAAGATTCACTTTCTATATGGCAGCTCATTCTGTTTGAGGGTGTTGTAAATGTGCATCAGTGTGATTAAGATGATCAGTATGTGATTTCCACTCCATTCACTCTGTCAGAATTCAAGTTCCCAAGATACTTAGTTAATGACTATTAAATTATTTTATTTTAAAAATTTTCATTCATTCATTCAACAAATATCCATTGGGCACACCTCATGATATTGCTTTATTTAAAATTCCCCATAGCAGAATCATGGGTCCCAAGGCTGGAAGGAACCTAGTCCAATTGTCCCAATTAGAAGATGAAAAAACTGAGTCCCAGAGGGTATTGTGACTTACTCAAGACTAAGTTTCATTAGACTAACATATTTAGGTAGTCTTAAAGCTAGAAATAGAGCCACCTTTTCTTACTCTTTTACCTGAAGCCCTTGAGCGACATTTTATTACAGTTATCTATTGTTAACCCAGCTCTATGAAATTATAATCAAGGACTATTAATCCTCTACAAGCCACAGATTTTATTTGTTCATGCCCAGTGAGGTGACTTCTTCATGGATGTTTCCATTGAAATTTTCAGCAGATCTATTGATGCCGCATGTTAACTGAAGTCCACATTGATTGCTCTTGATTTCTCTGAATTCTTTATTTTGGTCTTGATATGTACAGGCGGCTCCAGAATAACTTAAAGAGGACTTTAGACAACAGCCAGACAACAATCTTTCCTGGCCGACAGGAAGGGCAGCGGCACAGGCCAGCCACAAGCACACGCTCCTGACATGGATTTTACGTAGGGCGTCCTGGGACATTGATCCACTTCAAGTCCAATAGAAAGACAAGAGAAAGAAAGACTATACTCGACATTAAAGCTGTATTCATTTAAATGTCTTTTTTTTTTTATATTTTTCTAGAAATTAAAAAATCGACTTCAAAAGCAAAGATGCAGATCCCACTCCCATTCCCTCGCTGGTGCTTCATACTCCTAATCTTTATGAATGTAAGTAAAAGAAAATTATTCTAAGCTCTGTTCATCAAGGGTGCTGAAACGTGGAGGAATGTCTTTGGCATGAGTGAATGGACGTTAGTAAGAATAAGCATTGTTCTATTTTACCCTTAGTTACTTTGAGAAGTATAAGTAACTGAAGACTGCCAATGATTCTTGCCCATACGTTATTGTTATCAAGGGTGGTGCCGTGGGAATCCTGTGGGTTGTATCAGCTGGCGGACCCTGGATTCGTATCCCTTTTGGAGCAGTTCAGTCTGGGGCAGCCCTTAGGAGCCTCTCCCTTCAGCTGTCACATGGGCCCCACGTTCCTTGGGTTCGACCCCTTGCAGAGACAGGCCGTTTCTCCAGGTTCTGCACAGAGCAGCTCTGAAACTGTGCTGTCTCTGTACTTCTGGAAACCACCTGGAGCGCAAAAGTAGGCTGATCGTCTTCCATCAAAGTAGGAATTCCTTGAGCACCCGACCATTCCAATCCGATCGCGTCCCTCTGGGCTCCGCGATTAGCGGGCCGGAGCCTCCTAGACTGTAAGCTCCCTGAGGGCAGGGGCCTTGCCAGCTGGTTCACGGTGGACTCTTCAGAACCTAGAACAGCGCCCGGCACCAGGGAGGCGCCCAAAGTGTCTGTTCCCCGAAAGAACCAGCGGTGTTTCAGCTGCAGACTACAGCTGTTGGTGGCAGCTTGGTGGTCGTATGTGTGGCGCCATTGACTTGAAACTTGAGGAGTGACGTCATGTATATGGCCGCTAAACTGCTACATAGGACAACAATTAAGAGGTTGGTTTTTTTGTTTTGTTTTGTTGTTTTGGAAGATTCATGGGAGAGGGCTTGTGTGCAAAACATTGAACACTGATCTTCATTCAGAAAAACTGTATGCCCTTCATGTCTCATTTCTACCTTCATGTGAGCGAAAATCATATACTTATTTACATCTCTCAGATGTATAGTATGAATATAACACATGACAAGTAGAATATTTTTTAAGTTTTTCCATTGCTTGGTAATTTTATCTATCCCTACTGCTTCTAATGCACTGCTTTATTGCTGAAAATGATACCACCTCACTCATGATTTTTATTTGTATGAAATCATCAACAAGAAGCTTCATGTGCCTTATGAACTTCATGAAATTTATATATGTGTTGTTTATAAGCAGTGGTAATTCCATGATTGGAATCCTATATATAATTTTACATATAATCACATATATAAATAAGCATATATAATTATATACATTATACATAATTATATATAAATATATGATATATGTCTATATCAACATATCTGTTATATATCCATATGTATATAACAGAATGCCCTGATGTATATGCTATTTTCAGAAGAAAGTCACTGAAACGTTCAGCTACTGCTAGAAAAATTCATCGTCAAAAACTCCATGCTCAAATATGAACCAGACCAGGAGCAGACTCAGATTATTATGGCTCATCTTACAAGAAGGTTCTAGTTCCTCATTCCTTCAGTGCTGAAACAATCTCCACTGAACCGGCTCCAAACCAAGTTCACTGGAGATTGTTTCGATATTGCAAGAATGATAAGATTGACGCTACTCTCATCTGCATGAAATACATCTACTCTTTCAGATGCTCCTGTATCTACTATTATTGATGTTAAAACTGCATTTAACCAAATAATGTTGTAACTGAAAATAAAAGTATAGTGTTTTCCCCTTGATATCTTGGCATATACTGCCTCCCCATGGCTTTCATGGATTTCTAGTTAGTGCAGGAATATTTCTTAATTGTTTGTCCAGTCCATTTAAAGATAGAATTCAGAATGTTACTTCTGGAAAGAATGCCAAGCTTCAACAAAATAGTCCCTAATGTCGAAAATATCGAATAGAAGTGACAGAAAGGATTTATATATGACATATTCCATCTTCTAATTTGATTTGAAGATGGTGAGAAAGTGGCCCAGAAATAAACAATATTATCATATGATAATTCTCATATCAACTAAAGATTTTAATGATAGAGCCACAAAGAATCTAAAATAGAGATATAAGCTGCACCAATCAATATCTTTTCTTGTGAGGACACCATGATTTATTAAGGATCATGGTTACATGATCTTTAGTTGAATTATTAATACACACACACTCATAGAAATATTAGACTAATAAAACCCAAAATGAAGCCTTAATATTAAATCTATTTAAAATACTTTTTTTTTTTACTCCCAAACTGCATTCCAATTCCTATTAGAATATCTGAGCATTTAATGACTGATAGTTCTTTACCTTTCACAGTTTCTGGTGTCAGGAAATATTTTAGAGTGTTGATCTTGCTAAGCTCTAAGCTCTATGAGGGCAGGATCTCAGCGCTGTATCCTCAGCACCTAGTACAGTGCTTAGCTCACCAAGTTCAATGACTATTTGCTGATTGATCTTAAAACCCAGTCAGAAAAGGGTCATATGGTAACAGAATGGTGTTCATCTACATCAGTAAAGGGTTTGTACATTTTAAGTCATTTTTGTTGCCTCATAAGTTTCTCTTTACTCTGCCATAAAGTCAAGAGGCATTAAAATTCGAAATAATCCTAATATTTAAATCCAAATATTTAAAGGTATATTCATAATAAGTGTCCATATAGAATTATAACACTAATGTTATAAAGATAACAATACTCACATGGCTTGCTGGCACTTCTAAAACAAGTCTAAGAAGGAACTTACCTTCTTATCCATAGTAAGGTTTTTCTTTCTTAGCATGTCCCCTTTCTCAGGGCCCTACAGGGTTTTTTTCCAGTAACATAGGCTAAAATATCTGGGCTTTTGACTAATACTGTTCTCCATTCCTTATATTCAAATATTCCTTCGTGTTTCATTATTTGAGAAAGTGCTGAGAGCTGCTCCTTCTTTTCCATCACGAGATGATCTAGTCCATACCTTCAGCTTCCTGGCTGGTCTCTCCAACGAATCAATGGACATCTGAGGCCTCCCACAAGAATTTTACCAACACTCTCCATTCACAACCTTCACTAATCAAAAAGCTACAAAATATCTTTATTTCATTATCATATTTAATAACATTAGATAAAGTGCATTGAGCCTCTCATGCCCCTGCACTTTGTATTTGTATTTGGTTTTGTCAGGTACTGTAGTATCTGATTTTTCTTGACTCCATGTCTTACTAACCCTCAAATATGCTCCCCTCTGGCCAGATGGTTTCCTTACAGTGTCTCACACATGCCATTTCCTACCTCTAGAGTCTAGACTTATAAACATTTCAGAAAGTCTTCCCTCTCCTCTCTGCCTGTGTAGACACTACATATACAGAAGGTCCAATTCAAATTCTACCTTGTTCCTGTAACAGTCCCTGACTAATCTTTCTTCATGATCTCTCTCCACTCTGAATATTTATTGTATTATACGCTGTACAATTCAGTGGCCTGGAGTATATAGGTTAACTTAATGAGGATGATTTTGTTTTAGAGACTGTGGGGAATAGAAAAAAGTATATAACACTATTTCTGCCATCAATACATTTGGGAAAACTTCGATGTCAGAATAATTGAGACATAGCAAAGCTAAATAAAAGTGTGTTTCAACAGATACAGAGAGAGCACAAGGAGTATGCCTGACTTCTGAAGGTGAAAAGTCAGTGCAGGCTCAGGCTTGCAAGTTTTCTCCAAAAAAATCTCTATGTAGATGTAAAAAATCACAGATTCAAACACCACAAAAACATCACAGCCACAAAAGAAATAGACATCTCTGTGAACACAATCAGACAGTGATCATTTTAGACACACACACATCAACTTTGATAAACAGGACTTATGGTGGTGACAAAGATTATCTGAGACCGACAAGACTAATGTCAGTACCAAAAAGGGGAAATATATAAAAGAAATATTCAAGATTTACATTGATTTTCACGAATGCAAATGAGTGACCCCGTATAGGTGATCTGCTGATTAAAACAAAGAGATTGAGGCCAATTATTCAAGGCAGAATATATCAGAATGGATTTGTTTGTGCTATGGAATAAATTGGGTAAATTTTTGGCAGTGTGCACAATCTGAGCACAAATAAAAATCAGCTGAAGAAATCCAATTTAAAAAGCTTATTCAGTGCACCAATATATCTGTTTTAAATAACATGATTAAAAATTCTTAAGAGTTCCAAAGAAAACAAAGTCTATTTAATAGTAGTATTTTTTGGAAATCGGGTTACTATGTCTGTATACATTTAAACTTTACAGTGGTAATAAAATTAAAACAATCTTATATGATAAAGAAGTGTGTGAGTTTGTGTGGCTGCTATACGTTTTCAATAGTGAATGGAATGAATGTTATAAAGCACAAATATTCCACCTGGAGACCATGCATAATTGTTGCTTATAGGAAGAAAAATAAATGTTTTCAAATTTTTTCTTGTTTCACTTGTTTATGTACACGCCCATCCGTACTCTCTATAAGTAACTGACTTTTGTTTTTAATACAGTATCCAACCCTGGTCCTTCCAAACACCACGGTTACTCCAACAGAGCCTCAGTCGTTTCTGCACCGCGTAGGACAGAAGAAGCTGATGGATGCGGAGACCAGATGCTACCGCCGAATGCGGGCGTTACCCCCGTACCGAGGAGAAGGTAAAGAGAGGGCTGTATGTCAGCATGGGCTTCAGATATCACTGAGGGCTCATTTTCTTCCCTGAGTAAATCCGTATTGACTAATTTCAATGTAATACACTAGTTTGAACGGTGGTTTTCATGGCCGGGTATGTGAGTGTGTTTCACGCAGCAGGCATGCCTAGTTTCTCTGCTCAAGTTCATCCAAAGGCTTTCTGGCTGACATCTGCGCTTAATGCAGAATGACTACAAGGACAATATTCACACCCGGGGAGCAGGGACAATACAGGACTAAGCGAGGGAAAGGAATTGGAAAGCGACAGGAAGGGGACTGGAAAGTGGTGGGCAGAGGATGTACCTGCGGTGGAACCTGCAAAGCCCGGGCTTGTTTTGGTTAATGAGGCAATATCTTCCCTAACCTGGTAGCTCGTGCTATTCCTTCTCCCGGTCCACCTCCAGTTCCCAGGGGAATTGGAAAAAGATATCTCCTAGGCAGAACTGTTTATCTCTCATCTTCTCTGGAATGCTCTGTGTGATTGCCCAAATAGTCTCAAGGCCAGGCATAGTTGATCAGCTATAGGGAGCCCACCGGAAAACAAAAGGGAAGATGCAGGTTGGCCGAGCACGGCTACTTCCATTTAAATTCTCTCCCTTGTCCCCGAAACCATTTTAAAAGACCCAACAAGATCTTGTACACCTTTGTATTTCTAAGACAACACTCTTGGTGAGGGGGTGTTAAATATGCTCTGTTATTACACATGGTTTGCCTTCAAATAGTTAAAATTTTGATTTCTAGTTCCCATGTTTTGTTTAAACAAAAATCAAGTCCGTTTTCTGTCTGCAGTAGTTTCTAGTGTTTTTTAAGAACCTGAAAAGGCATTAGATGCAACTCTCCATAAAAAAGAAAACCATTTCTCTGAAGTAAATGAAATAATAGAAACAAAAAACTGATATTTTCAGAGACCAAGTGAGTGCAGTCACCTTCACTTCGGTCTTAGTTACCTTGGGAGGTTAAACTTTTGTGCTATTATTATTTAAAACTTTTTTTAGAACTGCCTTCAAAGCCTGAGGTTCATGCTTTTGAATATCATTGTAGAGATAAGATCTTCATGTTTGGGGGAAGACTTAATTTTTGAAAGCAGTGAGAAACCACTTGGAGCCAACGTTGAATACACAAAATGATTGAACTGAGTATTGTTTTAGCCATAAATAAAGTGTGATTCTAAAGTACCAGGACTGTTTATATATGACCCAACTGGCTGAAAATGCATCTGCAGTAGGAATTTTGAATAACTGCATCATCCTTGAATCAGGAATAGGAAAACCACTTTGAAGGTTAGTGGTTAGTAGAATACATATGCTCCAATGCCATATAGTTATTTTCAAGGTAAGTTTTCAAGGCTGACTTTGCATATACTTTCACAAGAGTTTTCTTATAACATTGCCAGAGATATTTTAAAGGGAAAAGTTTGGATGAAAGATTCCATACAGAAGACATGTGTGTCTTCTGAGGAACAAATGGAGAAAACACTACAAAAATGTAAATTCCATTAATAGTCGGTAAAGTTAATGTTTTTCTTTTGCTGCTACTGTTGCCACTATTGTTTTTTAAATATATTTCCACATGAAGAGCCCCAGAATAACTGTCTATGCACTATTAAATCCCGCTAAGGCTTCTGCAGTTTTTGACAATGGCAATGTTCGTTTGTTTCTAAATGGCCAGGTCCATTTTGCAACCGCACCTGGGACGGATGGCTGTGCTGGGATGACACACCGGCTGGAATAACATCCCAACAGCAATGCCCAAATTATTTTCCGGACTTTGATTCATCAGGTAGAATGTCTATTTTTATTTTATAGTTTGCTGTGAAGCTTTTAAAGTTTTCATGGTCCTCAAAAGAAAACCAGATATAAAATATACCTACCTAATCATACTCTACAGGTTTTAGCATGTTCTGAAGCATTTCCATAAATGAAATATTACATGGTTGCAAAAATATTACAAGCTGTCCTCATTTTATTTATTTAGATTTGTTATTGACTTTTAGAGAAAGGAAGAGAGGGGGAGAGAGAGAGGGAGAAACATCTACGTGAGAGTGAAACATCAATCGGCTGCCTCTTGCACACCCCCTGCTGGGGACCGAGCCCACAACCTGGGCATGGGCCCAGACTAGGAATTGAACCGGCAACCTTTCTGTGCACAGGATGATGCCCGCCACCTGAGCCACACCAGCCAGGGCAACAAGCTCTCCTTAGTTTTTAAGTCACATTACTGGTCAGTTGTGCACACTGGTCATAAATTCCATTACCTTTTGAGTAAAAGTTAATTTTTAATATATTTAAATAATAAATATTAAATTTTAATAAAAATTTCAATTAATTTTTCTAAACCTGTGAGCAGTTTTTAAAAATGTATGGTTTTTCAAAAGTGTTTAATTGTCTCACATTTTGGTGACTTCTGCAAATGCTTGACCTAGAGTTTGCAAATACCAGCCTGGTATAATATGCACAATAGAAATTTTACATAAGGTCGAATATTATATAAAACCATGATATATAAGGGAAAATAAGTCAGAAGGTGTTAACTATAGATACCAGATTTCTGTTCCAGCAGATTATTAAAGTGTTCTCAGAAAATAAAACAAATTCTGTCAAAATGGATTATACTAACACCCAGCTCTGTGTCCTACACATGAGCGGTCAACAAACGTGTGTTTAGTAAAACAGTGACACCAAATTCACTTTAGTTATAAAAGTAACATACAAATACTCTTCAATGAATATCATTTTTTTACTTTTCAAAACATTTTCGTATATATTATAGT